TTCCTATTTGGGCTCTTTTGTGGTTCCATACAAATTTAGAATTATTAGAGTTCTGTGAGGTATACCATTGGAACTTTGCTAGGGATTGCATTGAATCCATAGATTGCTTTGGGTATGATAAACTTTTTTTTGTGAAATATTTTATTTATTTATTTTTAGAGAGAGGGGAAGGGAAGGAAAAGGAGAGGGAGAGAAACATCAATGTGTGGTGTTTCTTGTGTCCCTCCAGCTGGGGACCTGGCTCACAAACCAGGCATGTGCCCTGACTGGGAATCAAACAGGTGGCCCTTTGGTTCACAGGCCTGCACTCAATCACTGAGCCACACCAGCCAGGCTGGGTATGATAAACTTTTAAGTTCAAAAGTAGTTATGTTTGTTGTATGTCATCTTAAAAATTACTTAAAATCTTGAACTGATTTTAAATTAGTTAACTAATAAATAATCATCATATATATCTTGAGGATTTCTAAGTAAGATAGAACACTGGATCACTGATTACTAATTATGGTTTTAAGTTAACATACTTTTGTTTTTTAGTTAATATATTCTGCTTTTTAAAAAATATGCTATAGACAGGCTGTATCTTTGGGTCATGAATGTGTTCTTTCATCTTTGCTATATTAAGAAGGTGCAATAGGAATGTATATGGCTGTAGGAAGTTGTATTCTGTGTGTTTATGAACCTGCTCATCTGCTAAAATGCTTGCACATGATTTCTCAATGAACCGCATCTCCAGTTTTTGATGTGAAGTAGGAAGTAATTTTCCTTAAACATTATAATAAATATGTGTGATTGTAATTATGTTATGAGCAATAATAACAAAATGTATAATTATGTGTGGAAAAATAATATTGCTAAAAAATCCAGTTATCGAAGTATTTGTTCTTAGGATTCTTTATATACTCATAAATTAAAATTTATTAAAGATCCCTAGGCTTTTGTTTATGTGGGTTATATCTACTGTATTAGAAAATAAAACTAAGAAATTAAAAAAATACTTACTGTGGGTTAATTTATTATAGAAATAGTAATAATGAAGCCATTTTATGTTAACATAAACAACTTATTTTTTAATGCATTTTTATACAATTTTGAAAATCTCTTTACTATTTGAGTTAACGGGAGTCAGTTGGATTCTCTTACCTGCTTCTGCATTCATTCATTTTGATGATGATGAATGAAACTTACTGTACACTCATGAGAGGAGAACAAAAAGGCCATATAAAGTCTTAGTTTTATTATGAAAATAGTTGTAACCCACTTACAGCAGTGATTTTTCAACCAGCGTGCCATGGTATACTGGTGTATAACAAGAATTTTAAAAACATGAATACCTGATTATTTAGTTAGGGGCACTGATCACATTTCCCTTAGATTGTCATGTAAAAAAATGACAACAGCCAACACAATGATAGCATCTGGTGTGATGAATAAAAATTATACCCATTTTTCTGTCAGATCAGCAAAAAATATAATTTTTGGTGTGCCACAGAATTTTAGTAATTAGTTTATGTGTGCCATGAAATGAAAAAGGTTGCAAATCACTCACTTACTGGATTTCAGGAACCCTGGTAGGTCTGGGGACCACTTTGTTCTAAAGCAAAGAGCAAGTTTGTTAAAAAAATATAAGAGTATAATAAAGGACAAAACTTTGAGACTGATTTGCCTTGGTTTATAACCAATGTCTGAAATGAAGCTGGGAAATATATCAGAATTATAGTAAGCTCACTAAGGTTTGATGGGCTTATTTCTTTGGTTTACTCCTGATTAATGCCTTCCTTTGAACATGAAAGTTTGTTCTTTTTGTGTAATCTACTTTTTTGTATATATTGTTTGCTTTATTTTGCCTTTGATTAAGGCAATAAAAAAGCAAAGAACTAATTTTACTCATTTATGAACAGGCCGAGGTTATTTTACAGTCATGGTACACTGTATGCTTATTTTCCAATATTTTTTATTGTTTGAAAGCTAGGTAACCAACTACTATTTCTCAGATACCCATGATCCGATGTTAATTAGATAACCAATTCTTTTTTGACAACTCTTTCGATTTTTCCTTCTAAAGATCAGACCAAAATTTAGAACAAAAAATAAAGTAAATTTCAGACTATCTTTTACACCTGAAATTATCTTTGAAATTTCCTAGAGGGTCTCTAGGAAATCAAAATGATTTGTTCTTTCATCTTATTAAAAAATGTTAGAAATAGATTTGGTTGATATGTTACCATTTTAAGAGTTTCATGGGAGGAGAGTTGCTGTCATATATGAGAAGAGAGGCTGCCCTAAGGTTAGGATTTATATAGGTAAAATGTTATTAATAAAACTGCTTCAGAAATGATATGCTTTATGAGAAATGCCTGGAGATTTGACAATGCCCTTGCTGTCCATTATGTATTTACCCTCAGGGAAAACACTGATAAAAACTTTTATGAGATAGGTAGATACTGTATCACAACAGAAAATTTTACTTATCTTCTACTCTAATATTATGGATTACAGCAACAACAACAAAAAAAGATGTACAGGCATTCAGTATCTGTCATTCATGGAAAGTTTTTGTTTTATTCTGATGCTTGCATATAGCTCAGCTATGAGCTACAGTGACTAGTTTGTATCTGCAAAAAAGGCAGATTCAGAGCTCTAGGGAGACGGACTGTTATAGGTATTTTAAAATATGGGCATTTCGAAGAATAGTCTCTTGGTACAGGCTTCTGAGGTGACGTAGTTTAGGTAAATTTTATTTGGTGCCAGTGGACTGAGCCAGGAATCCCAGGACTCTTTAGAGTGGAAGCAGGTGGGTTCATGAAAGCAGACTACTAACCTAACATCTAGTAGAACAAGAATGACACAGGGCTGAATGAAACGATAAGGAAAATTTTATTGTATTTATTTGTTTGGAGTATTATTGATTAGTTTTAATATTGTAATGCTGTATAACTCTAAATTTGCAAAACAAACTTGAGAAGGCCTACATGGTTAATTAACACTCTTGCTGTCAACTAATCAGGGAAGCCTATGAGACTAGTCTTTTTTGTGATCAGTAATAATCTTTGTGATTATTTGGATCATATGAGGTAAGGGAGACACTCGGGAAAAATTAAGAAGCTCTTAAGTAGGCAGTCTGAGTGTTATTTTTCTTGGTTATCTGTACCATTCATTGTTAGGGAGCTATTTTATAATTCTGCAGGTTGTATAGTAATAAATATAATTCTTTAGTTTTCAGGGCAAAAAGCAGATCCTGTTTACCTGAAACTTTCAGTGTTTTATAAAAATAAAAACTCTTTGAAAAGTCTATGTGGAGCAGGGTGGGGTACAGGTGGGGAGAGATTCTGAGAGAAGCAGCTGTGAAAGGGTCGTTTTTCTCTGGCTGAGAAGAAGATAGAGGTCTGTGGGTTCCAAAAGCATCAGGGGCCCTTTGGTAAAGAAAACCACTGTGCATTACTGTATTGGCTCTGTTTACCTGTGAGCAAACCACTAGGATGAATGACATCTTTTGTTAGTTACACACTTGTTGCCTCTTCAGAAGTACTAGAAAAGACCGACACTAGGTCTGACACATAGGTATTGTCCCATAATTAACTTCATTAGTGACTAAGATAATTTATATGTGACACAGTCCCTGGGAATAACAAATTTAATGTTTAAGTACTCGACTTCAGGATTGCTCTTGCGGCACCATAGGCAGTTTGATGATAATAAAAACAGACATTTTGCAAATAATTTCTTATAGATCTACTGCAATGCAGACTTCAGCCCTTAGCCTTTGTAATCTCAGGGGGTCTGCAGCAATCCGCTTTACCTAAAACTAAAAACTTCTAGGGGACTTGAGGGAAGACTAACCCAGCAAACTGTCTGCGATAAGGAGACTTTCCTACCTACACTTTAATAGTTTTACTCTTGGGTGTAATTTGAGATGGTAGTCTTGGACTGAGATTCTTTTTCTTCTATGGTTTCAGCATCTGAAATGCTATCCTTAAATATTCTAAAACTAAAGCTGTGAATGGAAGGCAGGCATTCTCTGTGCAGGTTACTGAATTCTGACATTTGTTGCCAGAGCTGATAGAGTTCACTGTGCAAAGAGCCAGGTTATCGGCAGTTTTATAGCTAGTGAATGCAGACACCAATAACACTCATATGTATATAAGATCTAGCTAAAGAAAAATCAAACTCCTGAAAAATATGAATTTTAGTAAAAGCTGTTATAAAAATCATTTCAAAATTTTCAGTTCAGTCATTAATATGAGATAAAAAGAAACATGGAAAGGGATAACAGGATGGTAAAATATTTTGTAATCTGAAATGTTATTGTACGAGAACAAAGTTGGTTATTATAATAAAGAATATTTCACTTTCATCACATTATTCAATGGACCCAATAAACATCATGAACCAACACATTTCAATAAGATATATAAACTTAATGATGCTGAGATATTCAAATTGTAATTTTATAGGACTAAGCATATATCATATGCAAATATACTGTCTTATAAAAGCCTGCATGCTTATATCTATGTTTGTATTTTATATTCGTTATTATTATGATTATTATTATTTGTCATAAGGGGCAAAGGACTACCTAATCTTTCCATTCTTCTCTGTGAGGAACTAAGGATTCTTTACCAGGTTTACAGTATGTGGTGGGGGAGGTCATCTTTAATTTAAATTTAAGTAGAAGGAAGGATCTTGGAACTTTAACGTAGCGGTAAATGTTACATATAAAAGAAGTCCTAATGTACAGTGGACAAAAAGCCAGACATCTCCAGGGGGAGATAAAAACCATTATGTGCTGTGGGATTTTCTGTGCTGCTCCGGTGCTTACTTCTTTCTGATCTATATTGCAACCCTTTTAGAATGCCCAGAAATTTCTGAAGCCCCATGGATTTTAGCTTTGTGGGAGTCTGGTTATGTACCAGGTATTTACCAGATCACATACAGCTAGTAAACTGTATGCAAGGATATTACAGTGGATAAATTTCCACCAGACCCATTTTTCATACCTTTTCCCCCATGGATACACCCCCTGATGTGATGATGACATCAGCACGACTGATACCCTCATTCAAGGCATTGAGTAAGTCATCTGGGCTGGAAAAAAATAAAGATGAATATATTAACATACGAGGAAAATATTTCAGACATAATGCCTACTTAAAACTAAACTACATTTTTCATTGAGTAGGCATTAACCTGAGTGCGGCTGCATATTCTGTGTGAAGTGGGAATCAAAAGGGTCTCTGCCTAACGACAGCATAACTTTACTGTGGAGAAAAAACTGTGAGTACAGAAGGTAGTGGCTACTGGTACTTTCACAGGCACCCTCCCCCCCACCCCCACTGTTTAACAAGGCAACATATTAGATGAAAACATGAGGCGTTTGTAGGCTTTCTAACCATCCCCGATTGCCTAGAAATATCCCAAATTTTATATTGAAAGTCACATGTCCTAGGAAATCCCAGGCAAACCAGGACAGTTGTTTACCTACTGTTGGAGAGATCACATAAGACTCTTGATGGGCAATATGACTTAATAGGTTTTGAAAAATGGGCTGGATTTTTATAGATGGAAAGGAATGGGGAAGATGATCAGCCTGTGGTGAAGCCCATGGTGCTCCTAGATCAGTGGGGGAAATGAATTATGTAGAATGAAGGACTTGAGTTGAAATGACTGGGGTCGGTGGGGGTAATCTTACAATAAGATTTTGCAGGGCCCTCAAGCTCAAGAATTCGGACTTCATCTAATGGGAAAAGGGTGCAGGGATTCACTAAAAATAAGAGGAGCCAGTAGGTATTTCCTGGGGGAAAGAAGGATAGAAAAAAAGGGCAAGGAAAGCAGAGACCATATGAAACATTCTGAGAGGGTAAAAGGACAGGAAGAATATGAGGGACTGAAATAGGCAGATTCCTGATAGTTGACTAATAAGACAAGTGCACTAGCCCCTTGGGTTGCACAGGTCAAAGGCCTGGGATGAAAAGGTGGAGTGAAATCAAGGGTCTTTTCATTCGGATGTTAGAGGGATGCAAACGCCTAACTTCAGATTAAATCAAGTGAGAAAAAAATAAAATGCCAGGTGTTGGGACTTATGGAGGGACAGGAAGGCAGTAGCTGAAAAAGAATGTTTAGTTACTATCTTTAATCCATACAGCAGCTGGGCAATGTGCACTGCACCTGCATTGTCCTTCAAGTGATGGAATACAGAAAAGAAGTCTTTTGAGGAATATTTGTCCAGACTACACCTTTGTTTTCTGAAAACTTCTTACTCTTGGGGAAAGAAGGGGTGTTACCCTTCTCCCCCCCGGACATTTAACATATACATCTAAAAAGGGAGCAATCCTAGTTTCTGATTTTTTTTTAAATTTTTTTTTTTAGTTCTTGTTTTTAGTCCCTTTTGAGGCCTATTTTTGCTTTTGGGTTCCATGAGATAAAACTACATCTTTCCATAAATCCCTTCTTAGCTTAAGCTAGCTTCAGTAGGCTTTTGTTAACTTGGTATCAAATATCTCAATGAGATAGCACATGTTTTCTCAAATCTTTCATGGTAATGAAGTTTGTTCAAGCAGAAGGAAGAGGAACAGAAGAAGAAAAAAATTGTAACTAGGACATCACTTAATTTTTTACAAAGGGGTGACATAGGTAAAGAGAGGAGCCTGAGATTTACCCAAGAGGCTACACTTCACAGGCTCTACAAGAGATAAGCAACTTGGGAGGTGACATAACACAGAGATTATGAGTGTGAACTCGAGTCAGGCTGCTGAGTTTAAATTCTGCTGTTACTACTTGCTAGATATAGAACCTTGGACAAGTTGCTTAACTTCCCTGTCTTAGCTTTCCATCTATGAAGTAGGGATAATAGAGGGTTGTTATGAAGATTAAGTGACATAGTACATATAAAGTTTATGGGTACAAACTAAGTTTTAAGAAAGGTAGTTGTTATTGCTGTGCTATTGACAGACACTCATAATAAAAACACACTTAACAACCTGGCAAAGTTCAACGCTAGCATGCTTGGCAGTTTTTATTCAGGAGAATGTCTGTGACTAACACAGAAGAAAATCATAAACTGGGCCTCAAATGCTTTCACACAACTATATGTGTAAAGCCTAACTTCCCCTTCTCCTTAAGCCAATGTCTGTCCATGTGTGTAGTGGGGGTTGCTTGGCTCTGAAGAGTGAGATCCCAAGGAGGAGAGATAAAAGTAAAGGTTTGAAAAATGGCTTTCATGAAGTTCAACCTACCAACATAGGGACCCTTCAAATAAAGTCATCCAGCAAATGCCTTATGCAGCCAAAAAGGTACCCAGCCATTCAACAAAGGTAAGATCTATGTGTAAACATAAAAAACTTTGAAAAGATACCAATTTATCTTTTCTGTTGAAATACCATAAGATATGCATGTGATGGGTTCCTGATCACTGCATGCCTTGTTGGACCTCATTATCATTAAGCTGAACCAAATGGTAGATCTAAGGAGTAAATGGGAAAAACATTACAAATGCAGGATGATGTGGAATGTGGTTCAGGTGAGTGGACAATGGATATTATCAACAAAATACAAATTTGTGTTAGTATAAGCATTAGCTAATTTCACCAGTCTTATTATATAATTGATAACACGCTGACTCCACAAAGCAGCAGTGACATACACATTATCATGTTATTAATCTTTGTATGTGGATAAAGCTCTTGGGACAGGCTAGCTGATAACTGCAAATAAACATACTTTTCAGTGATTTGTTTCCTTATTCATTGCTTTCATATTATCTGGGACATATATTTTTCCTGTTTTTTAAAACTGCAGAGTCATTAACTCTGCACATAAAAATTTCTAATTTGCAGAAACTAAAAGGGATTTAATACTAAATCATTATTGTGATTTCTCAATGCTGCTTTCTACTCTGTGGCTGCTGGGGTCACAAAATCACTGAATGTCCAAGTTGGAAAGATCTTTAGGGGTCATTATGTTCAGTATCACAGCTAGGCACATCCGTTGGGTCCTATCCTTCTCTGTCTCCCTTGCCCTCTCTTCGACTCCACTCTCTTGCATGGTTCTGGTGTCTGAGTTGTAGTCAGAGATTTTGGCTTAGAAAAGGCACAACTACCAATATATGACAGTGGTCAGAGGATCTATTGTAAATGTCACTTATGCTGCTATTATAATCCCACTTGTTCTCTCACAACCTGTGAGGTAGACTGAACAGGTATTATTATGCCCATTTACAGAAAGGAAAGTGATATTCAGAGAGGTAATGCAGTAAGTTAAAGGCAGGAAAAGTAGTAAGTGGCAGAGCTAGGGATAGGACCTCTGGCTCTTCCTTAAGTGTTTGTTCCATCCCACTACCTAATCAGAGTGATTAGTTTTTTCAGAAATATGACATGTCATACAGGGAAAATTCTCATCATAATGAACACTTGTTCAAAAGCATCAAACAGAGGTGCTAAGGCGGCAGGTGGGGAATCTGTCTGGGTGACCAGGAGAGGGAATGTGTAGACATGTTGGCATAGCTCTGGGGAATGAAACAAACATGACTATGATTCCTATATTTGGATGGGAACTAAAAATTTTTGATTAAATATAACTTTAGGGATTGTTCACAGGTCACAAATTTGCTCTTTTTGTAATTCATATTATATTTTAAATAGTGAAATATTTTCAACATAAGATAATAGTATAATGAACACCCAAGTATCCTTCTCTCAGATTTGACAAACACTAATATTTTCTTGTATTTACTTTATATTCCCTCTCTCTCACTTTCTTACTTTTAAGAACTAAAAACTGAGTTTGCTTTCTAAGACTAAGAACTTATACTGAATAATAAGAAGAATAGGTAATAAGAATTATAAATCATGGATATTATAGGAGGATAAAACCAATTCATGATTTTCTCAGTTTTGTTAAATAAAGAGATCATAGCATATTAATTTCCTCAAAGGTAGGAGAATAAAACTATAAAACATTATAATCTGATTTTGTGTAATATAATGTGAGCTCACACAATATGACTTTATGTACCTTATAAATGATATTACTTCTTATATCTAAGATCAGTTAATATTTAAGAATAAAATTAATGAAAACCATACTCATGTTTTAAAAGAACAATACAATTTAATACCTATGTGTTAATTTCACAATTTTATGAGGTAGGCAGGGCAAGAGAGGGTACTAAGGGTCACAGGAGGTAGTAACAGGTTCAAGGTCACTCTACACTCATTCTTCTTTCTTTTAAACTATAGTAATATTCACATTGTGAAAGATACTTTGTTATACATAGTATACCTTCAGATAAAAGCTATCACTATCTAAATATATAAATTACACTAAACCTTGATGATTAAAAAAACAACTTATATTTTTAAAATCAGAACTATCTTCTCACCATTTCCACTAGAGGGGATGTAAGATAAAAGCTTTCTAGGTATATATGAGTAGCATCTATTCTTTCAAAGAGCAGTAGATCTTGTAGTATCATTTACTTCTGCCTTCATTAACAACCACAGTTTTAATTAGATTTGGATGTTGATTAACCATTTATTTAAGGATAAATCAATACTAGCATTAATATTGATTTACTAACACTTTCTATCCATTTTCACTTAAGTTATTAAGTACCTATCCATTGCTCTCTTAGAGCACCAGATATAGGAAAGCCTTCTATAAGAGAATTGATTTAGCACTAAATGCTAAAAATTTAAGTACTGGGTTACAGAAAATAAAACCATTAACTGAAGGCCTAAGTGTCACAAGGTCTACAATCCAATTTTGTCTCTATTGCTGAGATGACTCTGAAAAACTAATATCATTTTCAGGGGTCTCATTATCCTTACTGTAAAATGAGAACATTTAGACTAGGCCCTTCTATCTCTAACATTCACTGATTTAAAGCACTTGATGGTAACTGGGATCCAGGTTAGTAAGGTATCATTTTTTTTTTAAGTTTTTTTTTTTAAATGTTTTATACTGGTCCTTTTTTTTTTTTTTTTAATTTATAGAGAGGGAAGGGAGGGAGATAGAGAGAAACATCAATGTGCGGTTGCTGGGGGTCATGGCCTGCAACCCATGCCTGTACCCTGACTGGGAATCGGACC